TAGTTCCAGAAAATTGAAACCATGGAATAGATGGTTCTGTAAGGAAAAAGTACAGGGAAGAGAAGAAACTGAGTAAAGAATATTTAATGGAAAAGCTCCCTGTGAAGTAGTTACAAGAGGAATCCCAGCAGCATGACGTCATACAATCCTGTGTTCACTATGCCTTCACTGAGTGTGTGCTGAGTACCAGGCATTGCCTGCCATGTGTCAAGGTCACAGCAATAAGGGAACTAGACAGGGACTTCAATGAGAAGGAAGGGGACCCTTGATAAAGCGGAGTAAAGAGAAGTAAGATCTTGAGTAGAAGGTTGAAGTAGCAGCAGGTTCACAGGAAGTTTCCCTGGTTTGTTTTGTTTGTTTTGTTTTTGGATCATCGTTGAAAGGTACACATGTTTATGGAGAGTGGAAGGATCTGATGAAGAGTGTGGGGTTGAAGATGCAAGGGAAATGGGGAAGATCCCAGATGAGCAAAACTCAAGAAGAAACAGAGCAATGAAAAATACAAATGCAGGGTTAGCTCTGATGGAGAGAAAGGAGGCTTCCTTCCATTTGAGACAGAATGAGGAAAGAGAGGACAGGGAAAGACAGAGCCTATAGTCTCTAAGCAGGAGGAGGTGTGCGCCCCCCTTTTGAATGGGGGGAATATTAGTTTTGAATCATCTGAACATTTGCTATATTCCAATTTTGCTATCCCCTGCCCAGCTTAAACCATCTTTTTAACTTTAGCTGGTTTTCACATGTATTCCTAAGTCCTTCATCATTAGATACCCTCTTTGGTATCAGATGAGACGCATTCTAATCTGGCAGTAGTCCTGAAAAGTTCAGTGGCACTTAGATGAACATACTTTAGGTATGTCCAGCCAGCACTGTAAACTGCATGCAGGCCAGGAGAGGTATGAATGCAGCTCAACACAAAACCCTCAACTTCCTTAGAACATTATGAGGTTGGTTTTTTTTTTTAAATAAACTTTTATTTTGGTAATTTGATCATCAAGCTCTGAAGTGTGAAATTTGTAGGTGATAATGTCCCTTAGCAATGTCAGAAGGTTGATCACATCTGGAGGGCACAAAAAGCTACTGCCTTGCAGCTCACTCAGATGTGATATTTGCTTGCAAAGGCTTGGGTGTTCTTACCTTTGGAATTCTTCTTTTATCCCGAGATAATACAATCACATGTCATGGTAATAACCAAGGTGCCAGGATTTTTATTCCCGAGTTAAATGGCTATTGTTCTAGTAGTGTTTCCTTCCTTGCCGTCCACCAAAGCTCTACTTACCCATTGGCAATCAGTTCTTACAGCTGTCACGAGTCTCAATTCTTACAATTCTTCTTACCTGTTCAGGTTTTTTCCTGTTGATCACTTCCACCACTATGCTATTATCTTATCACCATTGTTCTCTGTTTTCTCTTAAAATCAATATCTAGTCTTCTAGATCTTCTAGTTTCCTTTGGAGTCCCCAGGAGGTTATGATTGAAATGTTAAATTCGGAGGGGGGACCAGGTAACCAAGCTCTGACATGCGCACATACCTTTTCTATGTGCTGTTTCTCCGTCTGCCCTTGTGTCCTGCTCTCCCCATTTCCTGAGCTCCTTCTCCCCCACCGATGGCCCCTTTTTACTTTCTGTGTTTCTGTAGTACTCCAGGTTATGTACTCACAGCTAAAGGGTCAGATATGGATCCACAAATAAGAGAGAACATGCAACATTTGCTTTTCAATATAATTAAACGGAAACCACTTAACATTACTCACTCAGTATAATGTTTCATCCATTTACCTGAAAATTTCATGGTTTCATTTTTTTTTGTTTGCAGTAGAATAGAATTCTATTATGTTTAAGTATTACACTTTTATGGTGGAAATAGTACAATTATTTTGGAATTAATCATACCTTTAAAAGAAAAAGCCCATAGTTGGCAAGTTGGCATCTGTAAACTGGGATTTGTGATAACACTGTAGTGAAGTTCCTTGTACCCATCAATTACCTTGGACTTAGGACAACTCTATCTCAACAATTCTTTTGTTGTTGTTGGTGGTTTTTGAGACAGGGTCTCTATGTGTAGCCCTGGTTGTCCTGGAACTAGCTTTGTAGACCAGATTGACCTTGAACTCACAGAGTTCACCTGCCTTCACCTCCCGAGTGCTGGGATTAAAGGCATGTGCCACCAACTGCCCAACAACAGTTCTTATTCTTTTTTTATCAAAGAAGATAATTATGTCAACCTTAGATCTGGAGAAGCTGATCCAGGTTTACAGCATGTTGTATTTTGTTGCTGTGACAAAATATATGAGACAGTTGGTTTACTAGGGAATCATCCATTTTGGTTCATGGCTGCACAGATCTCTTCCCTATTTACCCACTGCCTTTGGTCTATGGTAAGGCCACGCACCATAGTGAGACTCACAGGAAAATCATGCTCACCTCATGGTGACCAGTTCATCAGAGTGAGAAACATGGTTGGGATGGTGGGTCACAGTGAATTGTGTTTGCTGTGTAAGCTTGAGTTGTGAGTTTAGAGGCATATCATCTACTCAAAAACCAGACATCGCCGTTCATGTCTGCAACCTCAGAGCTGGCAGCTGGGAGCAGGTGGATCCTAGGGCTGCTGACCTGCCAATAGAGCCGAAATAGTAAGTGCCAGTTTCAGTGAGAGATCCAATCACAAACAAATAAGGTGGAAAAGTGATTGAGGAAAATGTCCCAGCATCACCCTCTGCATCCAGTGTGTGCACAGGTACCCCGCCCACACAAGGAGTTTCTTTCAGTACTTTTTCTTTTTTAAATGAAAAAGAAGTAAAGAAGCCAGGACCCCATGATATCCTTCAAATGCATCCTTCTTAGGCCCCGCTTCTTACAAGTCACCATCTGGTGACCCAACCTTCAACGCATGGCCTTTGAGAAACATTTGATACCCAAACCATAACACACTGATTAATGTGGACACTTACTATTGACTCTCAAGAAATGGGAAAAATGTCTCCGTCCACACAAGAACACTGTTTAAAGAGTTGATATTGTTTCTACGGTTTCTTTTTACTTTAGTACAGAACTGTATATGTATGAACTATTTTTTATTTCCATTTTTATTGTCACCTATAATAGCAGTCACATTATAATTCAGAGAACTTGAGTCATACTCTCTGGAAGATACCTACAGATTTCATTGATATTCAGTGGTCCCTAAGCCTTTCCCACAATATGCTTATTTTAGGTTGTTTTAACTACACAGTACACATTTATTAATCAAAGAAACATTTACATTTTATGTTATCATAGTGATAACGTGTTTCAAATCGAGGTTTTAATATCAACTTTGTAGTTACCTTATAATACAGGAAGACAAAGTTGCCAGATTAACATTTTTCACACCAAACTCTGAGGACCTACTAGGCATTTGTCAGATTCTTAAGAGAGAGAAAAATCAAAACAGAGGACATTTGTATAGCCTAAAAATCTCCTTCTCTTTGAAATATTTCCTGATTTTCTTCAAGGAAGAATATAATATTGGAAAAAGAGATGTTTACCTTTCCACTGAGCATATGGTTGATTCAGGAAGCAAAATTGTAATGTGTTATTATAAATGCCGTGGGTAGAAAATACATATGGATAGGAAGTACACAGGAAAGCCATAGATTTCAGGGGGCAAAGAGCAGTTTCCTTAATGAAATTATGTTAATCTAAGATTCTGAATGTGTGTAGTTGATGGTTCTCAAAGAATACTCTTTTAGACTCTAGGCATCATGTGGACTTGTTAGAAATTGGGATTCTGGGACCTCATCTCTGGCCACTGAAATAGAAACTGGGAATGAGATCCAGAAGTCTAAAGACTTGCTTTTTCCCTTCCTGTCTCTTTTTTTCCTTCCTATATTTAATCTTCCCTCCCTCCCTGTTCCTGCCTTTCTTTTATTTACTTCTTTATTATTATTATTATTTTATGTGTATGGGTGTTTTGTTTGTCTTGTGTCTTGTGCCTGAGAAGGACAGAAGAGGGGGTCAGATGCCCTGGAAGTAGAGTTACAAGGGCAGAGAGCTGCCATGAGAGTACTGGGAATCGAACCTGGGTCATCGGGAAGAGGAGCCAGTGTTCTTAGCTCACTCAGCCATTATCTTTTCAGTTCCATCGTCTTTTTTCTTTTTTTAGTTTTTAGATGAGGTCATAGGTCATACTGTGTGTCCCTAACTGGCCTTGAGCTCACTATGTGAGCCTTTGAACTTGAGGTGATCCTTTCCCTCAGTTTCTCAAATGCTGGGATTACAGGAATGTGTCACTATGCATGGCTAGAATTGTGTTTTCAAACAAGTTCTCCCAGGGTTTATGATTCATGTTGACCATTGAAAACAAGCAGTTGAGTGTTATCCAAATCTAGAGGGCTGGGAGTTGGATCTGCCTGTAAAGGAAGGGACCTGAGATCTCTGGAGAGAAAAGCAGAGAACAGCATTGATAAAGAATAAGGTCAGTGTGCCTGGACCACAGAGTGTGGGTTAGCCAGAGGTTTAGGGGTACAGGAGAGAGTGTGCAGAGGAAAATAAAGGTCATCCAGGATTTTAGAGCCACCTTAAACTGTTTAGATTTCATTTATCCTAAGTGCTTATTTGCATATTTGTCTTCTTGAATGCAGTGGGAATATACAAGGTGCAGGAGATATTTCTCCCTTTACTCTACTGACCTGTAGTCATGTTAATAGATGCATGCTGAGCGAACTCACGGATACTCACCAAAGCCTTGTGTCATGCTGTAGGCATTTAGCACCCTTAGTTGATGCTCTGAGCACAACTAATGCAAAGAGAAGGCGAGTCACCTCCTTAACATGGCATAACTATGCAGAAGCAGAGGAGCTTTCCAAAACAGGTCTCTGACATTGTTCCTGGAGTCCCCTCTCCCCCTGCTTCTCTGACACAGAGTGCTGAGCCTACAGAGAATCTGTATGAAGGCCTAACGGCTTGCACAGCTGTGGGAATCCCATATGCAGCTCTGTCTTGTCTTTTTCTTTTCTTTTCAGACAGAAAAGGGGAGTGCTCTTCATGAAGCGGCTTTGTTTGGCAAGGTGGATGTGGTCCGAGTTCTGTTAGAAACAGGTACTTATCAGGGTTCTTCGTGGAGCCTGCCCTGCCAGGTACTGGGGTTATTTCAGGGTTAGAGGAGGAACTTGGCGGCTTTCTTCACAAATGATCCTCCTCTCTTCCAAATTACAGAGAGGTATTCATACCATGTAGAGTTGGGCTTTGTTGTTTAGATAAGATTGATGTCAATATTCAGGTGAGCTGAAGAAACTACCAAGAGGAAAAGGAAAATCTCTGCTTTGGGCAAGATGGAGAGACCGGCCCCTGGGGAGTTATGGCAACTGTGTGGTCTCTTGCTCCTTTACATTGTGACCCACAGCCAGGCAGATTTGCATCCCTTCTTAGAGCAAATTCTCCTCCTGGCTGCTCCTTGTCTGAGTAGCTGTTGTTCATTGGCTACAGAGGCTTATTTTTAAAGGAGCATCTTAGAGGGAATATTTTGAAAGAAAAGCAAAGGTAGGCTTACTTATCTTCTATGTATATTCTGACTGAAGTGAGACAAGTTGAAATTGAGGTCAGATTTTTGAGAATTGGAAGATATGAGTACAAATAATTACTCTACACAGCTGATATAAATTATGTTCTATAGGACAGTGTCTTTAATTTGCTCCAGAAAAAAAAATTAACATGGGCAGGTGATCATGCTGTTACCCCGTTTTCACTATGTTAAGTTTTCATGTTATTTAATTTTGGCATGCAATGTAGTGATAGAATAAATGACCGGAGACAACCCCATACCCTGGCTTTATCTGCAATCAGGTATTTGGAAAGTTCATAAACTGTATTGGAGTGGCAGAAACTAATTGCTGTATTAAAATAAATTCTTTAGTGTGACACATAATTTTGGAACTAAAATAATAACAGAGCTGTTTCAGCCACACGGTTCAGTAGGTTTGCTTAAATAGCTTAGGAGTGTGGCCAGCATTGAGGGCAATCTGAAAGAAACAAGTGTCCGGAGTATCTGGAGGCGCAGTATTTAGACGCTTGGAATAATTATACTTTTTCAAATTTGTTAACATTGAATATTCTAAGAGTGTTCTTACATTACATTGTGCATTATTATCACTTATTAAATTTTAAAATTGAATTATACAGAATATACAAATCACCTTGCCATTACACTTTAGGACTTCAGATTATAAGTAAGAGATATTTTTCACTTTGATAGTGTACTATTTGTAGAGTTTACTAGCTATTACCCAAAAGGGACTCCGGGGTCCTGAAAAGCAGTCTTTATAACTGTGTCAGAGAACTCTAGGAGTTGATTCATTATCAAGAATGTTCCATGTTTTTAGCAACGTTAGGCCCCTGTCTTCTCTCTTGTTAAAATCTTACGTGTGTAACTTAGTTTCTAAGCCACGTTCAATGCTTGGCCTATATGCGTATGAAATTAGAACAGTTACGTATTGGCAGTGTCATCTGAGGCCACTCGAGTGGTACATCTAGTTCTTCTTTTTCCTTCAGGAATTGATGCCAACATAAAGGACAGTTTAGGTAGAACTGTCTTAGACATTCTGAAAGAGCATCCGTCTCAGAAGTCTCTCCAGATCGCAACGCTCTTGCAAGGTAAACAAGGCTGAGCGGTGGATGACTTGGCCTTATAGCCAAGAATAAACTGAAGCTGTCTCCATTGTTATTTTAATTTTATTTTTATTCCAGTTAGTGTTTAATTTGGAATTAGCTCATTACTTGCTTATTTTTGCTAGCATATTTTAAGCTAAATAATAATTCATTTAAATGTTTTAATTCTGTCTTTACTCGGGACTAAAAAGTTATGTATTTACTACTTGATATAAAAATGTTTTAAAAAAGTTATGCAGTAAATGTGGATAGTGATAGCTTGAAGTGATTAGGCTATATGAATTGGTAATGACCAAATATTATCTTTACTTAGAATACTGCCTTAAGATTTTTTCAGAGATTTTCTATAATATTGTCTGATATCTGTGACTATGAAGTAGCCAAGTATCATTCACCTTGCACATGAGGGACCCTGGAGCTCTGATAGACTTCTTTGCTCATGCTCAGAATTCTACCCTGTGCTATGTAGCAGAGAGAGTACATGGATGCTGAACAATGTGAAGTTGGCTGAAAGAATGTCAGTTGTTTCTTGTGCATGTAGATGGGTCACAAGTACAAGAGTGGAGAGAGGCAAGACAGTTTCCTTGATTACCAGTCGGGAAACTGAAGAACAGCATTGCTTTGTAAGAAAATACATGAATAAAAACCAGATGGGGCTATGGGAATGGAGATACAGCAGTTAATGAAAGCCAAAATGGATATATAGAGTAAATGGCCATTATGTTCTTTTCTCAACTGATTTCTCAAACCTTCCTAGGAAGTTTTGGCCCCTATAATTTTGTTGTCAATAAAGAAGTTAATTGCAAGTCAGAACACCTACAGATAAATCAGAGAATCCAAGTATGACTTTTTATATTGATTCTAATTAAACCAAGTTGAATGAAAGCTAAAGAGAAAAATGGCATCCTTTGTTTTTATCTGTCCTCCACCCTCAAGACACTTGTATGTCAGGTTACACTTTTGCCTTCAACTGAACTTTGAAAAACCTTGACGTTTGCGTATATTATATCTTTTGGAGAAAGTAAAATAAAATTTTCCTACTAAAAGGGGGCAAGATATAATTTTAGAATTTTCAAATGTATTACACTGGTTCAGTGTGATAAAAATATTCTGTAGGAGCAAATTGCCTGCTTCCTAAAGGCCAAGGTTGATTAAGTGTGTCAGTTTGCATTGGGGCATATTAGGACATCTTTGAATATTTCCTATCACTGGAAAATACCTTCTAGTCTTTCCTTTCTTGGATTCGTTGGTATTGAAATAAAGCCAATTTATTACTGGCTTTACCAATCATAAATTACCATTTTTAATTACAAATTACAAGTTTATATAAAAATCACTATTAAATTTACAGTTAGTACTTCATGGTCCAGAAATTTTCAGCATACGATTCTTCAGGTTGCTTTTTTTCCCTAGTAGAATTTGCCTCGTAGAATTGTCCTTTGATCTAAAGTATTGTAATGGTGTAGGGACACAATTGGCTGGCATAAAACACAAATTTTCACAAATAGATTCTTACGTAGCAGATTCTTTCTGCATATGGAATACAAGCAAAGGATCCCAGTGGGAGATCTGATTTCAGCTGTTAGAAGAAGGCTATAAGCCAGCCCTATATAGGCTGAATACTTTTGGTGTATAGCAGACATGTTTTCTTTAGGTCACACATATTTTATGAGTATTGTTTTCATAAAAACAAATTTAGCTGTCAGCATTTAAAAAAAATTCCAGAATTGCAGCTGAATCTTCAGAATTTTGGCATCCATGAAAATGCATTCTTCCATCTTTTGTAAGTGCCGAACTTTTAGATGGAGCACCTGCTGCTCTGAATTACACATGTCCTGTGCATGCCCTGCACTTCTGTGACATTCAGGCTGAGTATCCTTTGACATTTATCCCTGTATTTAGTGAAGTTTCCCTTATGATTGAGACAAAAGTGACATGTTTTCACGTCCCTTGTCTATCTGGCTCTACCACATATTAGTGGAACAAATTAATAATATTCCTCTTTTAAGTTGTCATCTTTAAAATTGAGGTAGAGCCGGGTGTGGTGGTGCATGCCTATAATCTCAGAACTCATGACGCTAAGCCAGAACGTTCACACGTTCGAGGTTAGCCTGGGCTGCATATTAAGTCCCTGTCTTAAATTTCAAATACAACAGCCACCCCCCTCCAGACCATACAAACTGAGCAAACAATAGTGTAAGGCTTAAACAGGTTAACATATCAAGTATTTAGAACTAGGCTGCTATTATTATATCTTTATTTAAAGGAAAAGCAAAAGATAAGTTGTCATGCAGGACATTATTTCATGAGTGGCAGGAATGAACATTTTTTCTGTATATAAATAAAATTTACCATGAATATTATGACTCTCTTTCAAGCCCACAACACCACTGTTTTATTCACTTCTGATACCCAAGTGGTTGGTGGCCTTCGTCTGAATTGAACGTCTTTGTTTTAGTGACAACGTCTGTTGAAGCATCTTTTGGGAACTTTAAATTGTCAGACAGAAAATATTTAACAGGGTTAGGAGGCGCTTATGTCTCCAACAGACATGTTTATCTTTAAGGACACACAATGTTTTTACTTAAATGTTTTACTGAGCGAACAGCTTCTCTTAAATTTCTTTGGGTTTGTTTCCATTTTTTTCTTTTTAAAAACTTGTGGTGGCTGTTGATCTTTAACCCACATGACTCCAAATGCATGACCTCGGAACTCTGTGTCCACAGAATATCTAGAAGGTGTGGGAAGGCCGGCAGTCCTGGAGGAGCATGCTCAGGAAGACACGACACAAGAGACACACCTCCCGTCCCCTGCGGAGTCTCCTTCCCAAAAGCCTAAAAGTGCGTATCTGACTGACGCTAGCGGCAGCAAGGCCAGACTTCTCTGGTCAAGTCTGTCACGGTGCACGAGACGGGTGAACACCGGGGGGAATGTCAGATCTGTCATGCGTGGCTTCTGCTTTGTGTTTTGTATGTTTATTTAGTCAGCATTTATAGTTTCTGCTGCTTGTGTGGGATTGCACATGACACTGGGATTACACATGACATAGGGATTACACATGACATAGGAATTACACATGACATAGGGATTACACATGACATAGGAATTACATGACACAGGGATTACACATGACATAGGGATTACACATGGCATAGGAATTACATGACATAGGGATTACATGACATAGGGATTACATTTGACATAGCACAGAGAGCAATGTAGTTAGCAATCCCTTCTGTAATAAAGTTTATATGGAGTAGAAACAATTATTTTCATAAATGTACCTTCTCTAGCTTTACTGAGGCATATTTGACAAATAGTAGTCTCGTGTTTGTAGCAGATAATATGAAATTTTGACACACACACACACACTGTGAATTTATTGTCACATTCAAACTAATTAACGAAGGTATCACTTTGCATAATTACAAATTTTTGGTGGTGAAAACAGTTTCAGATATCTTGGGGATTCGAGGACACAACGCAGTGTTCCTAACCATATTCAAATGTGCACTGTACAGTGATTGCCCGAGTTTATTCATCCGCACCTAACTGAGATTGTGAACACTTTAAACACCATGTCTACTGTTTCCTTTCCACTGCCACCCCTGGTAATGATCTTCTGCCTTTGTGTGTGGCCTTCTTACACTGCACACAGATGTGAGAGGATGCACTTCGTACATTGCACACAGATGTGAGAGGATGCACTTCGTACACTGCACACAGATGTGAGATGATGCACTTCGTACACTGCACACAGATGTGAGATGATGCACTTCGTACACTGCACACAGATGTGAGATGAGGCAGTGTCTCTTTATTTCAGCCTCACGGTGCTCGGCAAAATGACCTCCAGTTCCATTACTGTTTCTCAAAGGTGCCCTTCTCTTAGGCATTTATCATGATCTGTTATCTGTTTCTATTTTCCCCTATCCATCTCTCCAACAATGGACACTTAGTTTTTCCCTCAGATTTTAGCCATCCTGAATAGGGTTTCAGTTAAAAAAGGGGTCCGTGTATTTCTCTTAAAGAAGTTGGCTTCGTTTACTTGAGGTAAACATCAGATGTAGGATTGCTGGGACCGAGGAACAGCTCGTGTTTTCTACTGTGGGTCGTACATCCCCACCCCAGTGTGCAGGGTGATCTTTCCCACAGCCTCACTGCTTCCTCTCGTCCTTATGATAACAGCCAGGATACACGAGATCTTTGTGGTTTTAATCCCAGTTCCCTGATTGCCAGTGATGTAACATCTTTTCTATGTATCTGTTGGCCAACTGTATTTCTTTTTCTGAGAAATCAAAGTTTAGCTGTTTAGCCCATTTGACAATTGTTATGTGACAGGTGATACAATTGTCTCTTCCTTCTGATTCTCCCTTTTCTCACACATCACAATTCTCATTACCTACATGTTTAATTATTTGTTTAAAGGAGTGAATACTATTTATGTTCATTGAAAATAGGAAATGTTTTCACCATTATTTTAAGGTTGTTGATGAATCACTGGATTCTGTCAGTGAAGTAAAATGCCAATAAAAAAATGGAGAAATGAATCCAGATGACCGTCAGTGGTCCAGCTCTGGCCTAGCATGTGCGAGGCCTTGAGTTCAGTCCCCATTCTGCCTCAAAAGAAAAAAAGTCAATTCCTATAATAACTAAAGCTGTAGAAACTAGTTAAGCTTTGTAGGTAAACTTTCAATACTGATTTCCGTTTTGATAAAGAATAGCTACGGTCAAAGTTGGAACCTCTTTCATCTGTGAGCATATTCGTGTTAATTATATTTTATGCTCCTATGTTATATATTAGGCAAATATGTGTTATGCATTGTGAACATGCAAATATGTTAATTATGCATAGTACCTTGCTTTGGCCAGATGTTTCTAACCCCTTGCTTGCTGTGTTTTGTCTTCTGTCAACGCAGTAGTCCCGTTTATATTATTTAACATTACACTTTAGTGATCATATCTCTTGCAACATCTGAAAAAAAATTGTTTTCTTGTAGGTGAAACGGTCACTGGGGAATTATCAAAACTCCTGGATGAAATAAAACTCTGCCAAGAAAAGGATTACTCCTTTGAAGATCTGTGCCATACGATTTCAGACCACTACTTAGATAACTTGAGCAAGATTTCAGAGGAAGAACTTGGGAAAAATGGAAGCCAGAGTGTAGTAAGTAAAGGGGGGGGGGATGAAGACCAACATGTCTGTCTGTCAGTCCAGTGCACGCCACAGTGGCATGGGATTCGCTGACTGACCAGGGTATCAGATTCAGCGCCGAGCAAGTGTCCATCTCCCTGTTATCCTTGCTCTGCTGTTCAGTGGGTCGCCACTCGGCAGCATGTGATGGGGCAGAGATGCTGGGGAAGGATGGAGCGGGTAGCCCAGTGTGAACGGCTTGTGATGATGTCACTGCTGTCAGACTTCCTGTTGTGACGTGGAAGCTGCAGTTTCTCTGAACATGGCTATTTAACTGAGCGTGATTATCTCAACTCCTGAAGAAGAAAACGTTTCTTTTGCCAGTCCCCCCCCCCTCCCCGCATTCTCTATAACTCCTCCTTAAGGACAAAGACAGGGCCAAAGCACATGTATAATTCTTCAGTTACTCCAACAATCACGGTGAGACAGCTCAGCTTCCATGTTTCCAAAATATTAGCTGTAAAGGGAGTCTCCCTTGGGACCTCAGAATCTAAAGTGTGAGTTCGATATTCTTCTTCATTGTGGATTTTCAGATCAACAATAGCAAGAAAAATTGTAATTAATCAGCTTTAAATGAGTTGTAAGCCTACTTTTGACCCAGGAAGGAATGATTCATAGTAGTAGAGGATTTAAGGAAGCAGACTGCTTTGATATAAACTATTCACTTTCAGGAGTTGATTTGTTGGAAAGGTGTTGCACTTTCCTCGAGAGTGTACAACACAGTACACTGTGATAAGTATGTCATATTATTTTAAATATTCAAACAACTTCTAAGTTTGGTACCTGTCTGTTTTGGGAACACGCACTTCATTTAGTCCCTCCAAGTGAGGCGTGACACTGTTCCTCTGCAGAGCACCTGCTGATCTAGTTCAATGGCTAAACTTACCTCCCAGCCCTACTTTTTTTGGTTGTTGCTCCATATTTTTTTTCTGGGCTGCTGTCACATTATTGCCCTTCCTCCAGTCCATTATGAATAACTTGAATAATTCTGTCTGCACTATACCAAAGGCTTATAGGTTTTACAAAATGAAAATCTTCTGTTAATGAGATACTTACATTAGTCAGCACAAAATTCCCTAAAACTAACTGCAAAGTACAGGTTATTGGAGCTTAGCATCTTCTGGAAAGCCACTTAGAACTTTAAACATAGTTGCACCGCATAACTAATAGATGGTGCCTGCATTTTTATATCCATCCCTAAAGCTTTCTATTACTTGTCACATTGTAGCTCCCTCCTTCTAAACCCACAGGTCCCCGCAAAGCCCATTCCCCAAAGTCAATGATTTCTAAAGACTTTTTATTAAATATGTTTGTAAACAAACTTAAACATCCATAGTGTGTTGGTCTATAGATACTCACACCAATCACTCTCTGTCTACCTACACATACATAAACATACACTCTCCTAGGGCCACATGTGTAAACCAAGAAAGATTTACTTCACAAGAAATCAAGAAATTCAGAGTTAGGAGAATAGAGACAAAGTAAAGCAGAAGCCCTAATTGTTTTTCTGTTACTCTGTGTCTGTGTGTGCTGGGCTCTGTATTCTGCTTGGGGGGTGTGGTAGCAGCTTGCATGTCTCAGGGAGCGATGACAGGGCCCTCGGCACACACACCTTTTGGAAAGGGTGCCTGCTTTGCTTCATGAACTGAAGACTGTGTTGTGGGAGCGGCAAGGAAGGAGGAAATAAGGCTTGGAAGTTGAACCTAAGTTCTTCAAAGTTTAGCCCAGATGTTCCCACACTCTTAGTTCTAGTGACAGATAATATAGTAGTATTCCTTGGAACTACAGTGATATAAAAATTCCAAAGGCTAAATGGGGTAGAATATCAGAACATGTATATGTAGGAGCAAGTTATTCCATTTCTTTGTAGGGGAAAGATGAGAAATAGGATTAAAAGGATGAATGAAGTTCGGTGGTGGGTGGTTTGAATATCAGGCTAAGAATTTTGGTATTTATTCTTTAGGAAATGAGAAAAATATATAGGATTTTGGGCAGATAAAAGACTTCGCTGGAACTGGCCTTTCAGCAGATAAATCTGATAGAATCATCACTGACTGTTTAAAAAGTAATTCATTGACATTGACTTGCTCTGTGGCCCACATTTTATTTGTATTAATCCCATTCTGTCTGATACTTGTTTCCATTGGTTGACATGTTTTTCCTCCAGTGTTACTATGAATTGTCCCCTCATTATACAAACAGCTTAATAAAGTGCTTTCAGGTTGCCTAAGATAGGCAGCCATTGCCATGTTTAAAATTATAGGCATATAGATTCCATATGCAGGACTGTAGCTGGCTTTATAGAGTTCAAAACTCCCATCCCAAGGAGCCTTCAATCACTGTTTGTAGACAAGACTAACACATAAAACAAATATGTATATTATGAATTGATACTTGGTAGGTGACTGCTATTTCTTATTCTAATGTTTTATGTGATTAAAACCATGACTAAACAGTCCTAACCATGGAATTATAAATTTAGGAAATGACTCAGTGGGCCTGTGCCATACTGAGGATTTCAACAAAGAACTGCATTTTAAATTCTCAGCTGTATTTCTTATCATAGGTTACTCTGTGGCCAAAGAAACTTTAAAAAGCGAGAGATCAGGGATGTACAGGTGTTCACCGAAGCCTTCCTAGATGTAGGTTAAGACTAAAATGGCTCCTGGAGAAAGGGGAGATGGAACTGCCTTGCACTTGTCTTGAAATGAATGCACCAGGGAGGTACACAGCCTGAAGAGATGCTGTGTGCAGAAGCAGAGGTCAGAATCCATGTGTAGCTTGGAAAGGATGGTTTACCATGATGGATAGACAAGATAGACGAATAATTATAAAAGCTAGTAGATATTATTATTTCTCCCATTTTAGAGATGAGGGGTGAAGGCTTAGGCTTGGGAGACCTTTGATGACTTTTTCCCCCAGGTTCACATGGCCAGAATATCCAGGCTCAGATCCTGGCTCCGAAGTCGGAGTCATATTGTACATAACTCCCTGTATTATCAGAGAACAAAGGTAGATCAGGAGAATAAACTCTAGGGGAGTGCCCTCGAAGGTCATATTTTAGAAGGTCAAAGGTGACAGCTTGTTGGGTATTCTGGGCATAGACTATGATTTTCATTATTGGCTTTGCCTTAGGGTAACGAGGAAAGGTTTTGAAAAAATAAGTATGATATTTCATAGCCCCTAAGTCAAAACATTGAGGGGTCTAGATATGATTGTGCATATCTGTTAATGGCAGCATTGAGGATGCTGGAGCAGGGGGATCACAAGTTCAAGCCACGCAGGGGTCTTTAGCACTCTGAGGTCAGCTGGCTACATAGTAAGAGCATGTGAGAAAGAAAAAAATCTTAGTTGCTCTGAGCAGTTCTTTCTAAGAAGCCTCCTACATTATCTTAACAGGCATATAGTTGATCTAGTGAAACAAAATCCTGCCGGGGCCTTTATAAGCTAGTTTAATAGTTCAGGCCTAACAGGGGAGCAGAGCTTAGGTCCTAAGAACACCACACAATGTAACATGTTTTATTGAGCTAGAACAATCTGGTAGCCCTTGTAGTGGCTACTTACTTCTTCAGTTCTCCAACATGGTCGTTTTGGTTTACGTTCTAGAACTAGGGGAAATCTTGGTTTTGACTCTCAAACAAGTTACTGCTACACACCGTGTAGCTTGAAGAAAAACGTTATTTCTTGCAGTTCTGGAGGCTGCATGGAGGCTGCAGGCGAAGCTGGCCTCTGCCAAGAGCCTTGCCTCCTGGTTTGTGGGGTCCCGTCTTTGTCTTCTCACTCTTTACCCACATGGCTGAGGACAGAGAGCAAAAACAAGCTCTCAGTTGGCTTTGCATGGAGCCATTACTCCACCACCAGTGGCTATGTGCTCATCTCCTGGACATCTCCCAGAGTCCCTTGCTTTACTCTTCCTGGGGGTTGCTACATCACTATGTGTATCTGGAAGGGACAGAGACTTTCTTCCTACCTGGCAGCTTTTTAGTTCATCATGAGAGGAAATTCAAACTACTCTGACAACAGTCCAAGCTTATATTTGTATGGTATCGAAGCTTTAAATATAGGAAAACATTTTTTGTTATTTATATTTCTAGTGATAGGATGAGCAACCGGTTTGAATGCAATTTAGTTTTAGATGCTCCAAAAATATCTGACTTATTCATTTTAGTACTACGAATAATTTCAAAAGTGATTAGGAAATTACAAAATAAAAGGAAAATATATTCTGTAACTTCATATCATTCATAAATGTATTTTACATCTTAGTGACATAGCTTGAACTTGACTGTTTTAGCTGTTATTCATAGTTCAATGCAACTTTTATTTCCTATTTTCTTCCAATAGAGGGCACTCTGATCCAGGAATTTGACACAAAATCAGCTATCTTATATAAGAACTTTTGGTTCTTTTGATCAGAGATGATTGCTTTTATTCAAATAACTTTACTATTATAAATGAATTAAAAATTAATTCCTTATTATTATTATTAACCTAGAGGTTTTATATTTAATTTAAAGACCAGCTCAAGTTAAAATTATATTTTACCTTGCCTACATTTTAATTCAAAAGTTAATCTGTTCTGAATACTCTTAAAATATGCATATGAGACCACTTTCCAAGTTGAATCAGAACATTATATAATCTAAGATAGGAATTTTGAAGAAATATTTTCATATTCTTTATGACTCATGAAGTTTGTTTTCAAAAGAATATAAAATGATCTAAAATTTCTCTGTTGTCTTCATTTATTTTCTCAAGTCTTATTTATTTTCTTCATTTATATAAACAATATGCATAGTTCTTAAATTTGAACATGCCAGGCTGTAGGAATTCTGATGTAATATGAAGATTACAGCAAATTGAATCAGAAAGTCATTTCTCTTCGATTTAAATAGAAAAAGCATGGTTGCCTCATTAGCCTCTATTTAAAAGAAAGAGAGAAGACAGTTGAGGGAAGAACCGTTTTATTC